AACGTAGACTAACAGAGGCAGTAGTGAAGAGATGCGATACTGTAACGGTAGACGGAAGTGTTAGGAGACGGGGTAAGCTTAGATTAACGTTGGTTACCGTTGTAAATAGAAATATGAATCTACTTAATTTGATTAACGACATAGCCTTTGATAGGACCGCGTGAAGAAGAACATGTAGCTGACCTCATTTGATGGGACTTAAGGCTTGGTTTGATTTGGTTTGGTAATGATTATATTGAAAAGTGGTTCAAGTTTGAAAAATCTTAAATCGATTAAATCATATCAAATCAAACCATTTCAATTGGTTCAATTTGGTACGATTTGATGAGAAATACGATTTGTATCGATATTCAAAATAATGAAATTGACATTATAGCTACGGTACCGAACCGATTACATCCTAATTGGAACGACAACTATAGAACAAACCGAATTGATACCAATTGGCAGTAATCTCTCGTACAGTCACTTCACCTTTCATTCTATGTTTGGATTGAGTGATTTAGAGAGAAAAGAAAAGAAAAGAAATGGAGAGATATTTATTTCTCTTATTTGTTTGGATAACTTAAGTGGAGAGAAATGAGAAGAAATTGAGAGAAATTGAGAGAAACTCATTTCTCTTATAAGTCTCATTTTCAATCTTTCCAAAAATGGAGAGATTGGGAGAGAAAAGAAACCACTATTTTCATAATACCAATTTTGTCCCTATAAAAATAAAAGAAATAAAATGATTGAAAATATAAAAAGATTATTTTGGTAATATAACATAAAATAATTTCTTTTCTTTTCTCTTAATGAAATCTAACCAAACAAGAATGAGAGAAATCACAATCATTTCTTTTATTTTACTAGCGTTCACCCCGTGCTATGCACGGGATAAATATTTTTTGTCCATATATATTATACTCGTTTTTTTTTAATTATTTTGTTTCTCTTATATAAAACTTTAGATTTAACTCACTTTTTAAAAAATTAAGTTTTTATTTTTTAGTAATTTTTTTAACATTTTACGTAGTTTTTTAAAATTTTCTAGATATACCTAATCTAGATACACTTAAAAAGTATAATACTTATATAATTTTTTTTTAAATTCACCAAATACAAAGAAAAAAAAATCAAAAATAAGAAAATTCAATACATTTTTGTATTTTGGTGTATTCAATAAATCTTTTAAAGATTTTTCTACAAATTTTATATCTTTTAAGTATATCAAGATTAAATGGATCTAAAAAATAAAAATAAAAATAAAAATATTTTAAGAATCACTAAAAATATAAAAATACCAATTGAAAACTCAAAAAACTGTTTTTGAAAACTCCAAACCAAATAGAGTATTATTTGTAAATTTAAAAGTTGTGTAAAATTATAAAAAAAAAATTAAAAAAATTATGAGTTTAATGCACAAATAACTTAATACTTGTTATGATTTTATAATATACATTAAAAATTAATCAATTTCCCTTACTCCACCCAAATAAAATTTAGTTGTATTATGTGTAAAATTATTGATTTATTTTCATAAAATAAAAAAAAACATGTATTGTTAATATAACGGTAAATTGCATTATCTTATTGTGGAAACTACAAATACCTATCAAAAATATACTTTTAACCATCTTAAACTTTATTTTTTATTGAATTATTTATCCACTAAAATCATAAACAAAATATAGTATTAAATTTAATAGATTCTTGCAATCTAAGAAATTAAAGAAGTAAGAAAATAATTAAATTTTAATCTTAAATTAAAAACTATAAAGAAAAACAAAAGAATTGAAATCATGTCTAATATGGTAGAATTTTCATTTCAAAACATAATATTTCCGATTTTTAAACCAAGTATGTACATATAAATTTTGATTTTGTAAAACAAAATAAAACATGAAAGATTAAATTTTGATTAGAACACTCATAATACATCCACAGTGGTATCTATAAACCATTTCCTACCATATCTCAAAGTAAAGACATGTCAAAAAAAAAAAAAAGAACAATACTCAACAAAAGAATTTATATAACACAATTTAAATTACACTCTGCCAAAAATCAGAATGTATATAACACTATTTAAATTCCTAATGCAAATCAAACCCATACTTTTTCTCAATAAATACAAAAATGTGTCTTGTGCAAGTGTATTCAAGTATTTCAATAATAAAAGTATGCCATTAATGAGAAGAAACAGAATGAATCTGCAGAATTGGGCTTGAAAGTTGTTTGAGTTGAAATTCTCTTAAAACTTGAAAGATTGTGGTTTCAAAATCTGCAACTTCAGCAGCCCATACGCATGTTATTCTAAGCTTGTAATTTTTGAACCGTAAGTGCAGCTGGATTTCTTAGACTGATCTTGCCTATTCTGCACGTAAAGTTATGGTAAAATTACACTTGTTTTTTTCTGCAATCTTTATAATGAAAATACAAAATCCAAATAGTCGTGTGGGGACATATTTTTTGAATACCAACACGTGGCATGGTGACGCCGACGTGTCAGCCGAGGTGCCACCTTGCCTGGTAGTTAAGCCGAGGTAATCTCGGAGAAGCCGAGGTAATCTCGGAGAAGCCGAGGTAATCTCGGAGAAGCCGAGGTCATCTCCGAAAATGTCGGAGTCCGAAGATAAGGGACAAGAGTCCTAAAGCAAAGAGGGGACTTAGTTAAGATAAGGATAAAGCTCTTAGGGAGTTTATCTCTATCCCTTAAAGAGTCCAGAGTAAGCACTAAGATTGGAGTTCATAGAAGTCATACTTCTAGTTGGACTTGGATTGAGTACATTATAAAAGAAAGGCACCCCCGTGGGTCTAAGGTATGTAATTCATACTTTGAGTATTCAGTTTAATACTTGATTATCCTTGAAGAATCATACTGACTTGATCGTCGGAGTGCCCCCGGGTGGAAGAACCACCGCCGGAGCTTTTCTTTTCTGTTACAGGTTGCTGGAGCCATCTATTCTACCGGTGCTTAGCTGCTGATCACTAAACGGGCAGTGTGGTCAGATTTTTACCCACACAGTTGGGAAAAAAAATTATTAGAGCAAAAGAAAAAGAAAAATAGAGACATGGGCACTACAATTTTCAGAGCATAAGAAAAAGAGAAACAGAGACATGTTTGTTGCCCTCATAAACAATGGCCATGTGCACTTAATTAAGCTCTATGGAGTGAGGCAGAGGAGAGAGATTTGTGTTTATAGCAATGTTTTCAAAACTGAACCGGTGAGCGAACCGAAAAAGGGACCGGGTGGACGGGTCACCGGTTCAACCGTCGGGTCAAAGCGGTCGAACCGTGACGTCATAATTAATAATATATAATTAAAAAATATAATTATAAATTATAAATAAATAAAAATATATATAAATAATCAAATAAAAATAAAAATTGTTGCATAGTATTTATTAATAATATTTAATAAAGTCATAATTGATAAAAAAAAGTCACTTATTTTAAAGAAATTAAATTTTTAAAGCATTCCCTCCAAATAAATTGATTGAATGCTAGATTTAATTTTGGAGGGAAATGAAATTTTCAACTCTCCCTCCAATTAATATGTTTCAAATAATTTGATTAAATCCCACATAGAATTTTGTAGGTTCTCTTTGAAAAATCTTTTCCTATAAATAGGAATAGACTTTCATAATCTTCTCAAGCTTTCAATAAGACTCTTCCTTATGAGAGGAGACTCTTGAAATAAGAATTTTTTAGTCAAAATTTTGAAATATATTTATATATAAGAAAGAAAGAAAAAAAAAAAGAATTGGTTTGACCCTCCCGACCCAGTTCGGGTCACTGGTTTTGTCGGTTCGACCACTGGGTCACCGGGTTTTCCCGGTTTTGGCCCCACTCCAGGTTTAGGGGGTTGACTGGACCGGAACAAGGCCCGGTTCCCGGTTCGACCAGCCGGTCCGGTCCGAGTTTGAAAACAATGTTGGAAATGAGAGAGAGAGAGATATAAAATCGGAGAGAAGATTGGGTTATATATATCCTATTGAGTCTTCAATAAAAATTCAAAATTGATGGAACAAACACCCCAGGAATATCCTCAAGGACACAACATGTTATAAATTATTAGAGCAAAAGAAAAAGTAAAACAGAGACATAGACATTACAATTTTCTGCAATCTTTGTAGTCAAAATACAAAATCTCAAATGCTTGGAACAAAAAATAAATTATTAAAGCAAAAGAAAAAGAAAAAGAAAAAGAAAAATCGAGACTTGCATTCGATGGCGAACTGCTGACTGAAGGCGTTCACTGCTGATGAAGGAAGTTGATGAAGTACGTGTATTTGTAGTAGTGGATTGTTAAAAATAATAGTTTAAGGGGATATTGATAGATGGGTGGTTTTTTTTTTTTATATATCTATTTGTTGTAGGATAGTGGGAGAGTGGGACTGAAAGTGTTTGAGGGTAGAAGTGTTTGAGGGTAGAAGAGATTTGTTTGAGGTGGGAGAGTAGCTGATGAAAGAAGTTGATGAAGTACGTGTATTTGTAGTAGTCGATTGTTAGAAATAATGGTTTAAGGGGATATGGATAGATGAGTGGTTTTTTTTTTATATCTATCTGTTGTAGGATAGTGAGAGAGTGGGCTGAAAGTATTTGAGGATAGAAGAGATTTGTTTGAAGTGGTAGAGTAAATGCTTTTTCTGGATAGATTTTGATTTTTTTTGTTGACAGCTTTTTATGGATACGAGTTGTGGATAGTGGATGAGTGGGAGTGAAAGTTTTTGAGGGTAGGGAAGAAACGTAGGGTAAGAGAGAAAGGTAGAAGAGTAGGAGGAAGGAAAAGAGCTATAAACTCAAAAGAGAGTTGTCACGTATTTTTTAAATTTATAAGAATTTTAGAATAGTATTTTAAAAGCTTTTGGAACAACACTATATTTGATTATATATACAGTATAGATAGATAGATATATAATATAGATTTTTTCCTCATCCAAAAAAAAAAAAAATCACAATTATATATATATATTTTTTTTCTTCTCTTATATAAATTAAGTAATCATTTCATTTCATTTCCATCCAAAGTCTCCAAACATGGTGTAATCTTTATAACTACCCACCCATCAGAATCCGATTCCTCTCTCTCATTAAATCACTTGATCATCCATATCTCTTTAAACAAAATCTGAATTACATGGCAGAGTCTGTGAAGAAACCAGAGCTCTTCGAACTCAACAATGGGAAAATGATTGTAAAGGTCTCCAACTATGGCTGCACCATCACTTCCTTATCCGTACCCGGCAAAGATGGTACCTTTTTTTATCCTTCTTATTATGTCCTCAATCTATTTTCTCAACCTTTGATTGAAACCCTTTCATGTTTCGATTCTCTGAATTTTTTTGAAGGTGAACTGGCTGATGTTGTTCTCGGATTCGACTCTCTCGATCCATATCTGGTCAGCTTGTCTTTTCACTTCTGGGTTTGTTGATTTTTGCAATCAAGAAGAGAAAATAAAACTATTTCATAATTTCTTGGATATTTTTTTACTGTTATTTTTTAAAAAATAAAAATAAAATAAAATGGTGATTTTGGTGGATTTGATTGATCTATGCTTGATCAGAAAGGTTCTTCACCTTTCTTTGGATGCATTGTTGGTCGAGTCGCAAACAGGATCAAAGATGGCAAATTTACACTCAATGGGGTTGATTATTCCTTGCCCATCAACAAGCCCCCAAATAGTCTCCATGGTATTTTCTCTTTACTCTATTTTCTGCTGAATCCTATCTAATATACATTTTCCTTCCAATCTGATTTGGGCTCTGGAATATGGGGGAAAAAATTAATGAATAAAATTCATAGATATTCAACTAATTTGACTTCTGGTGTCACTTTAAATGTATTTGAGATTTCATGATTGCTGTTAGTGTATATTAGTGTATCATCATTGTGCATTATGTTAGTGTAGCATTATGTTAGTGCTAGATATTCAACTAATTTGACTTCTGGTGTCACTTTAAATGTATTTGAGATTTCATGATTGCAATCAAAAGTGGCTGAAATTGATTCTTCTTACCATCATGAATTTATTTGCTCCAAGTCCATTTGACTGTGATTGAAAGTCCAGCGAATAATCCACACGAGCAATGATTTAGACAGAAATTTGAATATTTTTGTCTACTGGGGGCAGGTATACTTCTTAACTAATGAGTAGTTAATACTGATTTTTACACAAATACAATTAGCCTAACATTAGTCTATGTTTACATCTCGGATTCATTGAGGGAAAGGGAAAGGATAGAGAAATGAAATGACACATGCCTATTGTGATTTTTCTATGGGTAACCAGACAAAATAGTGGATTTCTTGAGAGATGCTTCTTCATTTTCTTTACATTTCCCAAACAATCAACCAACCAACCAACCAAAAGCAAGGTGTCTAGATTGTCAAGTTTCATTTTTGATTCCTTTTATTTTCCCTTGACTAATTCAAGAACCAAACAGAGTGTAAAGTGGTGTTAAATCGTCGTTTTGAATGGGCTTTGTCTTCCAGAGCCCAGATGTTCTGCTATTAATGTTTTAAGTAGCTGCAACTGTAAGCACTGGGGTCTCATGTCTTCCAAATTTTAAAATAATTTCATGTGAAGCTTTCTTTTGCTAACCTTAAGTGAAAAATCCACAAGTTCGAGAGCAGTTTATTATATTTTTAAAAGATGTTCTTCGAGGCCAACTGTGTCTGGCCTCTAATCTATAACATTTTTTTAAATTTTTTTTTTGTGCGCCCCTCTAATTGATATTATTAATATGGTACTGTATGTTGATAGCTGTCTGTGCCAACAGTGTTTGCATGGTCTAATGGACTAATTGTCACTGGTCACAACCCATGAAAGAAGGTTTTATATAACTAACAAGTTCAATCGGTTACACCTTAAAATGTCATATTTGTTGATTTGGATAACTGATGTTGTACTTTTCAGGGGAGGCATCTACCACATCTTGCCCCCCTTCGGCTTTATTCTCACTCTGTGCATGACTGGTGGCACCATTTGTTATAAAAATTATCTTCTCCTTATCCAATTGTTTTGTTTTGATGCATAATTTTTTTTTTCTTCACAATTTTGCTTCTGATTTTGTATGAACTATTATCTGACTTTATGGTTAGCAAAATTAGGTATTAGTACGACTAGTTCATGTTGCTCATGAACTATTATTTTGGAAAGAATGGTGATGCTCTTTCTTTCATGTAAAAGCATTTCTAAGCATAATTTTGTCTGCAAGGAAGAGAAAATAATTATATGCATGTGAAGGTAAATGTGTATATATATATGCACGAGGGTGTGTACCATAGCATTACTCATATATATACATGGTATGCTTGCCACAAGAATATTACTTTCAAAATGCATCATCATTAAGGTTTATTTTGCCTTCCCAGAAATGGGTAATATTCTTATCAAAATCCTGCTTTCCTTGTAGAAAAATCACATTTCTGGAATTTCTTCCACTTGACCAGATATATACTTCTGTTTCATTTAGCAAAGAAACATCCTGTTTGTTGTTGATTTACTTTTTGCTTTGGTCATACTCTATTGATAGAAATTACCTGCTCCATAAATTCAATATTTATAATATGTCTTTTTTTCTGTTGAAACAAATTATTTGTTTTTGGAAAAGAATATCAAGAAACTGAAAATTTACTACTTTAATCCATTGTGCTATGGACTCTTCTGAACTTTCTTCTTTTTTAGGTGGATTCAAGGGTTTCGATAAGGTGGTTTGGGACGTTGTTGAACACAAACAGGGTGAAAATCCATCCATTGCTTTTAAATATCACAGTCATGACGGGGAGGAAGGTACCTCTCTCTCTCTCTCTCTCACACACACACACACACATACAAAATTAACTCTTCTGTTGCTCCCAAAAACAGGTTACCCAGGAGATGTTTCTATAACTGTAACTTACACCCTTACTTCAAGCACGACAATGAGGCTTGACATGGAGGCTGTACCTGAAAATAAGCCCACTCCTATCAATTTAGCTCAACACACTTACTGGAATTTAGCAGGTCACAACTCTGGGAACATACTCGACCATTCAATTCAGATATGGGCAAAGCATATCACACCCGTGGATCAGAACACCGTTCCAACGGGTGAAATCATGCCAGTTAAAGGCACTCCTTTTGATTTCACAGCTGAGAAGAAAATCGGGAGTTCGATTCATGAGGTTGGTTTAGGTTATGACCACAATTTTGTGCTGGACTGTGAGGATGAAAAAATGGGCTTGAAACATGCTGCAAAAGTGAAGGACCCATCAAGCTCAAGGGTCCTAAATTTATGGACCAATGCTCCCGGTATGCAGTTTTACACGGCTAACTATGTGAATGGAGTTGTGGGTAAAGGAGGGGCTGTGTATGGGAAGCAGTCGGGGCTCTGTTTGGAGACGCAGGGATTTCCAAATGCCGTTAATCAGCTGAACTTCCCATCTGTGATTGTTAAGCCCGGTGAGAAGTATCAACACAGTATGTTGTTTGAATTCTCAGTCGAGTAGGGTATGCTAGTCTTGGAGAAGGGAAAACGTGAATAAATTCTGTTCTTTTTTCTTTTTTTATTTCTCTCTCTTAGTTCTTATGGGGTTATCTGTTCTTTTTTATGTTATGGGACCCGAAATAATAATGAGAAAGTTAGTTGAAGTATGGTTTTTTAGAGATTGTTCTCTGCAATGAATTGCTTAGGAGAGATGATCATCCAATGGAGAAAACTTTGAGTTATACATGAATAAAGTCTGGTTGTAATGGAGAAAGCACTGGTTTTGCTTGGTGTGCTGTAAATACCCGACATATCAATTTATCAGAATTTTGGTGTCGTGTATTAATCACTTGCATATTCTTTTGAATTATATATTGCAGCAGTAATTCAAATTCATCCCCAGTTAGTTAAAAAGACTGAAGTTGGCTAGCATAGATATAATTATGTCTGTATACGTTGATAGCCTTTCGCAAAAAATCCTTCTCTCTATCTACTAAATAAAGTTGTTTCAGACAATAGCACAAGGTCTGATTTAGCTGAAAAATGCCATGGAACTAACTGATATGCTTTATTGCAGACTCTGCTGCTATGCTACTACTTAACTAGATTTTAATGAAAATCTAATTGATGATGGTTTTTGAGGTTTCAATAACATTAACTCTGTTTATTAGAAAGAAAGTTGGGAATTCAATTCTCCTCGCCTTAATCTGGGTATTATGATTGTTAGATTTTATGCATAAAATTTTATAATTTCAAGTAAGACATGCATTTTGAGACATCTCAAATTAGAAAGAAGAATAAATAAAATTCAGCTGAAAAAGAGGCAGGCATACATCAATTAAAGGTGGTGCATTCAAGAAAAATATATTAGATCAGCAACAAAATGAGCAAATCCAGTCCAGATAAACTAGCCAAGCCTTGAATTCCAATATATGAAAGACCTGCACAATATCATTACAACCCTACAACATTGGCCAGCCAGCCCGGAAAAATTCAAAGAAAGTAACAATTTTGCGATTTAGGGTTCATTCACAACATCACACACTTCTTGAGTAGGTTGCAAGAAATGAGTGAGAGGTTCTGTTATTTATTGCAATAGTCCCACAGGATAGAGAAGTAAACAAATCCACTTTTTACAGGCACAACATTTCTTGTGAATAAGTTAATTATCATTGAAATTATATGTTTTGAGACACAGGCGACACACTGTCCAACCTTGACTACAATCAAATGAGAGAATATTTTCAAAAAACAAAAGAAGAAAAGAACTGTATTTACGCATCGTAGCCATCAGTTTTTATTTTTCCTTTTTGGTCTCTGAAGATGTCCAACTATCATTGAGTCATATGAAAGACACAGGTGACACACTCTGAAGATATCCTCATTTCGAGTGCAGGCTTTAGCTACCACCCTCCTTCCTTTCAGGTCTTGTCAAGGAGCCTTCTCCAAACAACTGAAATACTTCCAGTTGACAAGAGGTGGAAAAATATCAGACAAAAATTAGAACATAAGGAATAAAAATGCTCATTACATCAGTATAAAACAAATAGGAAAGCTTACACATCATTCACCATTATTCACTCACCTTAATAAAGTACATATCCAGGAGTTTTCACTCAATTTGTGTGTAGAAGGTAAAAGAGTTTGATCAGAAGATTACCTACAATATGGATCATCTTACTTTGTTCGAATCAGTTCCAGCGGTACACTTTCCATTGCCAGCTGATATTTGAAAATAAATAATTTCAGTTACAACAGCTAGCAGCTATTGATAGTGATTGATGACTACCCTAAGTGAACTGAGGCTTACCCACAGTCTAGGCATTCTAGGATCAGATTTTGGATTCAACTTCAATAGCTCTGACTGGAAGGTAATGACGATCGAAACTTTGAACTCTATTGAAAATGGACTGCAGACAAAATCAAAGAAGCCATCACATGCATTCTAGTTATGGCGTATAGATGACCTCAAGTTCAAGAAACAAGTAAAACGAGCACAATAGCTAAAGAACACTACCAGAGAGCATGCTGATAAAAGGGGGATTCTGCCATGGATGGTGAAGTATCGACTTGAAAATTCGAATATTAAAAGGGGGATTACTTCATATGAGAAGTTTAAAAATTCAAAATTCTAATCAACTAAGTGAAATAAATTTAACACAATGTGCATTTTTATACACAAAATTATACCCATCACAAGATTCACAAATTCTAATTCTAACATTTGTACTTTGTGTCGAATCAAAAGTCTATATACCCTATATAAAAAAATAGACTAACTTTATGTACAAGTGTAAATATATACTTGTGTAGAAAATAAACCCTTTCAAACAAAATTTGGGTATAAAAACTCAAGAACTCTGAAACTCTTCAATCATTCATTCTTCAATCGGTATCAAGGGGGCTACTAATAAATTTTTTACAATTCATATAATCCAAATACTCAACTCAAAGGATTGAGTTCCTTTAGCAAATAGAGACCTGCAGAAAAATTGAAGACTTCTTGGTGTATAGAATTGAATTGTGCAATTCATGTGCAATTCTTTTTTCTGTCGATTCACCCCCCAAATATGAATTAATTGTCGGTGTATCGAACTGAATTATGCAATTCATATCGTGGATAGTATGATTCTAATAATAGAGGTCTAAATACGCAATTAGTAGCAAATATTCTCTTATAACAATTGATAAAGAGAAGAGGGACCAGCATGCTAGGGCACAACAATAAGTTCCGGAAGTAGATATCTGTATCAGCAACTCACCCAGCATAAATTGTTGGACAAGTCAAAAGACGTGGAAGTATGATGTAAATGGGTAGAGTTATATTATGGCAGACATCTCCATCAGCTATCTGTAAATGAACGAAAAACTTTGTCAAAATAAAGGAAGAAAATGAAAATTGAAGAAGGCATAACAGAACTAAAATTGCTCGAAACAATATGAAAGGTTGCATGCCTGCGTAGTCTGAATTAAAGAGGTTTCAGTTATGATCCTTTCTCCGACCAGAATTGACTCTACACGAAGCAAGTGGATATCAATGGAATGAATAGGAACTGCAGACGCTTCAACTGTTAGCTCGCCCTTAAGAGGATCCGACAGCGAGCACTGAGTGCCAATTTTACCAGTTACTCGGAACCCACCTAGTCAGCAACAACTATTGTCAATATGACAATTTTAGTGTAGCAATGAGCTAACTTTAAGAGGTCACTACCAATTGCAAAACAATAATGATCACCGTTTTGCTAAAAATGTATCAGCAGACCCTTCGGCTTTCATCAACCTTCATGCTTGTCAGTATTTAAAAACACTATAACTACAAGGTTCGTAAGGACATGGAAGCTGGAAAAATGTTACTTTGGCCCTTATAATTCATAAAAACTAGAAAGAGAGGGGAAAGGAGAACAAGAAACAACCTGATCTTAGTTCAGGAAGTAATGAATGTCTTTGCGTGTCCTGGGTAATGTAAAATATGACCAGTTCAGGAGAAACTGGTTGATCAGGGAGACTAGCTGAAGAAAACACCACAGCAGAATGGAAGCTAATTAAGTGCATTGATTATTTTGTACAGGAGAAATCAAGAAATAGAATATGCATATACCTTTTTCACTCTCAATTATGAACTCCACAGTGGCAGACAATGACTTGTGCAGGTATCCCCTAACTATGTCTACAGTTACCAGATACTGTCATGGGATTTACAAGACATCAAGCATGAGAACAATATTAAAGATAAAATTATCACAGAATGAAAAAGGTGAAACCAGAAAAAGCAGATAAGAACAAATTGTGAAGAAAAAATCCACCTGGATGCTGACATTTCCTCCATGAAAGGTTTCATAAAATCTTTCTAAATTGTCATCTCCTGGATGTTTCAGAATCACAGAAAATGGAATCTGTCATGGTGGAAAACAATTATCAAAGAGATAACATTAGAAATTGCAATTGACTAGACCATAATTAATATAAAAAGGTAATTTAAAGAGTGCTGATACATTGAACTTGCATTCATATGGAAAATTGCAGTCATATGTAAAATTGCATTGCAGTCATACGGAACTTTGAATTCATGTTTAGAGCTCTCTATACAAATTGGTAGCTACAATTATCATCCTGAAAACTTTACTATCTTTGCTTCTAATTATAGCTCCTCTTCAGAAGGAACCCCCTTTGATAAGCCGGTAATCTGTAAAGCAAAATGTTAGACAAAATCTGCCACTACTTAGTTGTTACTTCGGTATAGCAGCTGTAGCAGCTTCTGCTCAAGGTGAAACTATTGTATAAAGTACTGATCACTTCACACAGCACACCAGCCTTTTTTATTTTCTGGCTACAAGGCCCCTAGAGGGGTTAACTGAGCTACTGCTCTCAGAAATCATTTTTTATTTTCTCATGCTATGGCTGTTTGTTTTATTCTGGCCTGCCATGTGGTTTCATTTGTTATCAGTATTCTTTCACTGGTCTACAGGAGGGAATCAGCATATTTAGCATATTCAACACTGATTCTTTTGGTCTAACACATGCAAACAAACTATGCTGATTGAACAGGTACAAAATTTTTCATTTGCCCAACAATTACAGACATGCAAATATAGTTTAGTTCTATATGCTGGACCTTCAATCCGAGGTGTTGAAACATGCATGAATCATCAACTATAACAAAACCTTTCCATACTTTAAGCAACCTTTTGGATGAACTATCTAACCCAATATCATACCTCTGTTGTACCTGAACCTATCCTTCCAGAAGATCTGACCTCAATACTTTTATTCCTGTTGTCAAGTGAAAAAAATATTCACATGAGGAACAACAGAAATAAATAAAATCATGCACATTGATGTAGATATCTTATAAGCCTGGTGTACATATTGATCAGGTCGTTTCCAACCAAACATAAAGAACTAAACTAGACCTCAATTATGTAGAACAGTGGCAACTTGGCAAGTTTTAGGTATGGATCCACGTGGACTAATGGAATTAACTGAATTACTTTGAATGTATTGTAACAAACAAGGTAGTTCACAATTTATAAATTATATGAGAGGGTTCAAGAATGTTGTTGGAAAATTCGAAGATCTTCAAAGAAAATTCGAATTCTCTAGAAATGATGAGAGGCTTAGATTCTTCAATAGTCACAACCAAGAACACAAAAGCAAAGAGATGATGGAGATAACAGATTGGGTGAAGAAGAAGACAAAGTAGTTAGAGAGAGAATAATGACAAGGCTCTCTCATGGATCTCCCACTTTCACTCTCAAGGTTGATCATGGAAAAGGGAAATTAGTTCTTTCCCAAGAGTTGTCTCTCCAAAACCATCCCTTGTGAAGTTATGGGTGAGTGCTATTTATAGACACCTCATGATGTAGGATGAAGCCCATGTGCAAGGCACATGGGGAATATTCTCTCTAACCACCTTGTCCGAGGAAGTGACCTCTCCGAGAATGAGGAAAATCCTGAAGAGGAGATCAACTTCTCGGCAAACCTTTCTTCTTAGCCACACTTAATCAATGATCCCCAATCATCCCCAATCATCCCAATCATCCCAAAAGGCCGAGGTAGTCCTAGAGGACCCCCTGCCGCTAATATTGCCGATTCTCATGGACCCCCCGGGGTCGTGCCACCTCAACCTGGACATAGGCTGGATCAATCGATGAGTGAATTCATCTCCACCTACCGTTCTCGGGATTCGGGCCCTTTGTTTAGACTCTAACCTCACTCAGGTTGATCCCGGAATGCTCTAAGTCCGCAAATATTCTAGGACTCACCAATAGAGTGGCTTCTAGATTGCGATTGAATTTTTTCGAAGCCCAAGTGTCTCGGATCTCTAAGCTTGCTCAATACCGTTTCGAGTCCAGGCCCGAGTAAGTCTCTAAGTTCGTGGATCCGAACTCTTTCGAGGCTTAGAGCGATCTGGCCCTTTTGATGGCGATAAATCCAGGCCCACCAATTTTGGATTTTTTGATTGGGCCTAATTAATTTAAATGAGCCCGACTTGACTCCTCCTACATTTTGCCCCTTGCGTGTATGAGAAATTCTGGTTTTCTCGGACATGCATACTTTCACCTCTTCGGCCATACTTCACATTACGTCCTCGGGAATATTTTGTCTTGACATGGCCTATGGATAAAGTTGATGACTCACCGTAATTTATGGATAAAATTGACAATTAACAAGAAGGAATTTTTTTTTTTTTTTTTCGTGCCACTGATATTTTTTAGAACATCTGAAATTTTTTTTTTTTTTCACTCCAGGCAAAAGAAAGCTTATAAACCTATTTTCATACTCTTGAAAAGATAAGGCCAACACACTACTTTTTTTTTGGGATATATATATATATATATATATATATATATATATATTCAGAATATTTGAAGGAATATTCAAGGAATCACACCCCTCTTTTTTCTATTTAAGGAAAAGGACAAAACCCTAATCAATAGCTCCTATCTTTTTTGATACAACCATTTCGGCTCTCTCTCTACAGAGGCCACCTAGCTCTCTTCTTCTTTCACGAACCAGAGCTTCTAGCCTACGTTGAAAACCACCGTCGTTTGCACACTCGCCGTCATTGCAGCTCCAGGCACCACCACTGACCTGTCCCAGCTCCGACTGCTGCAGACGTCGCAACTTCAGTTGCTCATGCTATTCTTTATCTTAGCGACGTAACTTCTCCGAGATCCAGACGCACCGGAGCTTGGTTCTACTGACTAGTGCCAACACCACCGTGTGCACACTTGCCGTCGTTGTAGCTCACTGCCGCTGACCTGTCCAACGTCGACCACTGTCGCCATAGGTGTGGATACCATTGGCTTTGCAACCTAGGTAACCACCAGCTCACGCATACTGGTTCCAACCTGTGACTAGCCAATGCCGACTATGTCGCCGCCCCAACGCCACATGGGTCTGCTTGGTCAGTCGCGGCACTGTCGTGCGACCACTCAACTCGCGTGGCTTGTGTGTCTCGTGTCCAGCACCTTTAACATTGCTGCTCTCTGTTAGTTGTGCCTCGTGTCCAGCATTCTTCTCACTCACTACTCGTGCAGGCTACATGCGCCACCACTGACCTGTCTCGGCTGTCCCCGACTAATTCTATCAATCTTGGTCTTCATTACTTCAACCCAAACCGTGACTAAGTCTTGCCTCGTACATCCAATTTGTGGGTAAGCTCAAATCCCTCTCTCTCTTGATTTTTTTTTTTAAGAAGCCTTTTGTGAAAAACTGATTTCATAATCTATGGTATTGTTTGGTAGAGTTTTAGAATTATGATTTGAGAATAGAGTTGTATTTTGAGTTTGTGAGTTTTGGAATTATGATTTGAGTGTGGAAAATTTGTTTGGTTGTGATTTTTGAAACAAGTTTTAAATTGAGTTTGAATTGAGTGATGTGACATATGATATTTGATACAAAAACTTATAACTCATAACCAAACACACAACCCAAAATTCCATTCAAAGCACATAAAAAATTTCGTAAATATTTTTTTTTTAATAATATAAAAATAGGTGCCAAAAAAAAAATAAAAAATCGAACACTATTCCGGTCAACTGCTGGGACGTCTGGTTAGCCCAAATTTCCCCGCCTTGCAAAGAGTTTTCAAAAGTGAGTGTGGAATTAATTTTTGAAAATGCTAAACAAACACCACTCACCCAAAATTCCATTCAAAGCACATAAAAAATTTCGTAAATATTTTTTTTTTAATAATATAAAAATAGGTGCCAAAAAAAAAATAAAAAATCGAACACTATTTCGGTCAACTGCTGGGACGTCTGGTTAGCCCAAATTTTCCCGCCTTGCAAAGAGTTTTCAAAAGTGAGTGGAATTAATTTTTAAAAATGCTAAACAAACACCACTCAAAAGTGAGTGTGGAATTATATTTTGAAAGCTCCACCAAATGGAGCCTATAATTCTAGTGGATTTTTGCTTAGCTTAGGAACTTTGATCTATTTGAGATTTGCAATATTGAAAATAGTGAAACCCGATATTGAGCTTCTTATACTTGATGGATGAATTCCCGATATCCAAATTTAGTGAACGCTTCACTTGGAAGAATAAACTGATGTAATAGAATATAAGACCATATATTGCTATGTGTTGATCTTGCGGACACTCGAGGAAATAAAATGTTGATGCTGAAATTCCATTTGAATTCTTATTAACTTGTGTTGCCTCAATTCCAATATTCTGAATTTGATACGGTTGACTCCTTGTTGTTATGCCTATTATTTCAGCTATATGTCTCCTCAAAAGAAATCTATCGTCCCGGGGTCATCAGAACTGGCTCTTATGAAAGAGAGAGATGTGCCTCCGGCGTCTGAGTGGAGGAAATCTCCTTATTTTGGCCGGAAGGACCTGTTCTGGCGAGCGGCTACCTCCACCACTTCTCTTCTATCTCCAAAGGGGAGTCCATTGTGTCTTTCTGAGAATACAGATTCCAGACATGGGGCCCTCATTTCCCATGTCTGGAATCTGTAACCTCAGAAAGACACAATGGACTCCCCTTCTTCGGTGCTACGCTTTAGGATTGAGATGGGAAATTTTCCTTATTGCTATCCCTAGTTCAAGGCTTTCTCCAACCCTCCTTTTGGTTGGCAAGAGTGGGTCGATGATGTCCTCTCAGACAGGGGCCTCTGTCAGAGGCTTCAGGAGGCCCAGTTATTGATTCCAGTGAAGATATCTCGATCTTTATCCATTCGCCGCAACAATGCTAGCCTTGAAGCCATGGCTCTTTGGTGGAGCACCGAGACACACTTTCATACTTGGCCAACATGAGATGGGATCCACCCTCGAGGATGTGTTCATGTTGTTGCGCCTAGAAATGACTGGCCCAGATGCCTTTTGCCCTGACCGGATACCCTCTGAGGATGATTCTCTAATCCAATCCCTAAAACAAAATCTTCAAGTTTGTAGTCAATGGAGCACTGTGTTTGACAGTTCAACGAGGAGGACTAAACGAGTGAGGACGGATCGTGCCTCCTACACCGCATGGATCCACCACTTCTTCAGAGATCTTCAACCCCTGGCTAGAGATGCTGACCCTGGTTCGTAGGAGTACGAGGTCAGCCCGATGTATGGTTCCAGGCTTTACTTTCTGGGATTTCTGGCTTGCTTTCTCTCATTCTTCATTCTGCTGAGCACACCTCCAAATTCTCTTAATCCTTTGTCTTTCCACTAGCAATTAGATTCTTCAAAAGGGATCGGATCCCCTTAGCCCCACTATTTCTTGGGAACCTGTATTATCAATTGGATCTGCTACATCGAGACATGGTACGTTCTGTGGGTCGATATGATCCTGTCTCTTTCATCCACAGTCAGTTCTTGCTCTGCTTCCTTTTTGAGAGGTTCCCAAAGTTTGCCCCTATTCCGACTGTGTTCGAGGGAGAAGTTCTTCGAGAGGGTATTCTTGTGCTTAGTAATGACGGGTCTCCCACATTTGAGAAGGCAAAGACTTGCCAACCATTGATCACACGTTGGTCACGTGTTATTTCCACCCTATCCCTGAATACATTGGTGGAGGATCATTGGCGCTTTGTGGCACGCCCCTATGTATGCCCACTGGTGGGTGTGGCGACGCCACTTATCTATCATGGCTCTTCTCGACTAGTGTCCTTTCCCTTGCCAAAGGGCATTTCTGCGCATCTTGTTGATATGCTGATAATGGTTCGTCCCAGTTCACTACCAGTATGGCATGAGGAAGGCCTTGATAGTACCGTTTACAGACCTGACAGAGTAGCATGCCAATTTGGATTTGACCAGTGTGCCTCGAGGCCGGTACC